GTCAGCAATCAATTTTTATGGCAATTGGAAACCACTGATACCTATTTGCTTGGGAGGTAATCTAAGAAATCTCTTCTCCTAATGAAACACGTGTGCTGGAGGCCAAAAGAAAGCAGATACTGTGGAGAGAAAGGCATGGCATGGTCATCTTCACCTGTTTCCCTGAGCAAAGTTGCAGGAAAAGCAGGAAATGCAACAGGGATGAAGCTTTCTCCCTTGGGCAAACACAGATGCAGAGCTCAGGGCTTTTGTGCTTTCCCAGCTTGTTCTTCCACATAGTGCAGGCTGAAAAATGTCCCCTGCTTGTTTCTAGTTCATGCCTGGAGTAGGAGCCATGACATGCTGAAGGTAAAGGGGAAAATATACCCTCTCCAATGGTAAGATGTTAGGGCATTTTTTCAAAAAATGTCTTTTGCTCTGAATTAGCTGGCCTTAGCTTCTGATGGACCTTGATCCACCAGTTCCAAAACGACTAACTCTTTGCTATTAAAATCCCTTCTATTGTTGTTGGTGCTTGGAAGTCAGCATTGTATCATATTAAATATTGACCTTCATTCTGTAAAGTGCTTTGTCTTGACTCACGCGTAGCTCTTGAGTCAACTTCCATGCAATTTTGTACATCTGAAGTTTGGATGCCAAAGGTTTCAGCAGCAAGTGGCAGTAGATGCCCTAACACTGTACATAAAAGTAATAGCCCTTGTTCTCTTGATCTGTACTCTTTTTCCTATTCATATATCTCAGGGTCAGGTCTGTTCACTTAAGGTTTCATAAGGAGCTGTTTTGTTCAGTTTAGCTCTTGCAAGTTGGCCTTATTTTCCTACCATGGCAATCCAGAATGGCTGCTGTCTCGTGGTGTGCATCAGTCTTTTGTCATGAGATGTTTTGCCTTCTGCCTGGCTCTGCTGAAACACATACTGTTCTAAGAACATTTCTCTAAGTGACCAAGGTCAACCCACAAATGACATTTCCCCACGCTGTTTGTTCTTTTTCCAGTTTGTTTGATCTGCAAACACAGAGATGTGGGAATTCATATAGATGTGGAGCCTTCTTTCTGTCATTTTCTCCAAGGACATGTGTATAGGATGAGATTTAACAATAATCTTTGGTCAGGGTAGGAAGGTAGAAGAGCTCATCACGGAGCAGGCAGCTGCCAGTGCTGCTTAGCTTTGTCTGGCAGATCCATCAGGAAGTTTCTGAAACAGATGCAGAAAATCCACGTGGAAACTGGCATGGAGAGAGCCTGTGCCAGTCTGCTGTTCTGGTCCCTGCTAAGGGTTTATGCCAGAGGAAAGGAGCTGAAGTACAGAACCTGTGAGAAAAGCTTCAGCAGTGCTTTGTATCTTTACTTGCAGGTACTACAGTATTACCATTGTAAGCCTTTGCTTCTGGAGTTAGGTGATTGCCTGGTATCATGGCTTTCTCCTTCTGTTCTGTTCACAAAGCAGCAACAAATCAAAAGGTAAAAGGCCCCAAAGGAGATAAATGCAATATATTAATTATGTTATTTTTAGAAGTTAATGACTTTTAGAACACATTTATGAGACAATCCTCAGAACTAGTATTTCTAAGGGGATACCAGCTGTGCCATTTAAACCACCAGGCAAGCTGAGGCTCCAGGAATAGGTTGGCCAAGGGCATCCTACTGTGGCGAGACCCGTATCACTCACTGGCTGTGCTTGAGCCTTCCCAGCAAAACGTATGGTTCTTCTCAACAACCTCCTCTGCCATTGCAGGGTTCTGTCTGTGGAAGCTGCTCAAAACGCTGGGTCAGTTATGAGATTTAATGAATGTTAATTTCCTTGCTTCTGTGCTGTGTCTGACCCAGCCGTGTATGGCTCAAGCGTATGTTCCAGAGTCACTCAAGGACTTCACCCACCATGAATACTATGAAAGGTAGTGGGGGGAATTTCCATATATGTCCGGTGTTAGTAATGTCATATCATTTCTTTTGTTAATACAGTTGATCTGCCTCTCTGATAAATATCTGTGCCTTATTTCTGATTTGCTAGAGTCTGGCTTTAATTTCCAGCTCCTAGCTCCTGTTCAGTTTTGCTCTTCTGGGTTAAAACATGTTTTAACACCACATGTTCTTGTCTTGAATATATTTATATGCTACTCAGCTCCACTGGGCTGTCCAGACCCCTGGTCTCTCCTGTCCCTGTGTTTTATCACCAGGAGCCGTGAGAGGTGTGGCAGGGTGAGTGGCATGGCACAGGGGTTGAGCATGGCACTAGGATGTTGAGCAGTACTGTTTGGGAAGGTTCCTTGCAGATGACTTGCTCATTTGGCTGAGCACAGGAGCAGTCTGACTCCTCTGGGACTGATGACTTCCACATCCACAAGCTCTCTCCCATTCACCTCAGGGTTGGGTCAGAGGCAAAACTGTCAGTGACATTCTGGGGGAGAGAAGAGGAAGCTGTTGGGTGGATGCAGCTTTCCCACCCCTCTTGCAGAGAGCAGCCCACTCCGCAGCAGACCTTAAGAAGTACACTTCATTCCTCACCCAGTACAGCCAGCCCTCCCCTCTGCATGGGCTGAGAACAGCAGTTTTGTGCCCTGCCACTTGGCTGTGCAATTCATGTGGCTTCACCCTGGTGAAATGGGTCTCAGTTTATTCTGATACACGCACCGATCTCTGTATCCTTATCACAATAAAGACTTCTTAACCCATGCCAGTGATGCTCTCGGACTGCTTTCCAGAAGATGGGAATGACCCAGGGGTAGGATGAAGCTTTTGGCATAGAAGATGGAAAAGTCTTGAGGTGAGGTTTCCTCTGCTGCCAGCTGCTCACTGCTTTTCTGTGTCAGATCTGGAGCTCCTGGTGGCTGGAGGGGCAGCATTCCCTCACGGCATAGCAATGCACCGTGTCCTTTCCTATCTCCTGGTGCCTGGAAGGCACCTACTGCCAAAATCTCATCTTTTCTTGGTTTCATTTTATCCTGACCTCTCCAAAGCAGTTTGTCCCCCTTCCCCCCGCCACACTGCAGGCCTGCATTCTTCTGTCCTTGCCATCCTTCTCTCTCACCCCAGCACCACTGGCACAGTGCCTTCATGATCATCCCTGCAAAACAGGTGAAGGATGCAAGGCTGTACCTCTTGCTTCAGGGCCGCAGCTCTGTCTGCACGCAGCTGCAGCCCAGCCAAGGTAAACATGCTTGTCACCACTCATTTTTCTTTCAGTGTGCACCCTCCCCAGTTTGTTCATGCAGCTCTTATCTTGAATTTTCCTCACATTTTCCAGCCTTTCTCTGGTAAAAAGATGGCCAGAATGAAATCTCAGGCACCACAAGGGATCTGTCCAAGGCCAGGATCCTGTCACCTGCATGAGCAGAGGAGCAGTGGGGTTAAGGGCTGGAATGTAGGAATTGCATTCATCTCCACTTCTCTGCTGTGGCACAACACATTCCTGCTCGTGCTCCCCCTTCTGCTTCAAAGTTGCTGTGTCTTTGAACATCTGGGGAGAGGGGATGATTTGTCCCAGATGTATTTGCTGCATTTTCCAAATGATGTCTTTGTTTACTTCCTGTGTTGTTTCTATGTTCTATGTTGTTTGTTTCTGCTTCCATCAGTGTTTTAATGTGTTGGATGTGTGATGAAATGCCTGCATCTGGCCCTGTGTAGTTATCCGAGCTGTGGATGCCCGTGGATGTTCCCTGTGATTTCATCCTGTTCCCTTTTGCTCTCATTAAAGTCTCAGCTTTGATGAGGTAATTTCATTGTGCATTGTGTGCAGAGCTATTTCCTTTTGTTTGATTCAAACCTGCTGCCTGGTGGTGGGCTGCCTCCACGCCTGTGTTATGGATAATGCTGACTAATTCTCCAGACCCATCATGCGTGAGATGTGTTCTCCGCCCACCCCAAATCTTGCTCACAGCTCTTTTTTAGGATCCAGCATTCTGCCATTTCTTTTTCTTGTTCCCCACGTCAGTGTCATCCATCTCCATAGGAAAGTGTGCACTGTTCCATGTGTCCCCTGGCAGCACCCTTCTATCTCAGCCTGCCCTGCCCCACCAAATCCTGCTTACAGTTGCCCCACAAGTCTCTGCTGCTTCTCCTTGGCTATCAGTACAGGGAAGAGCTGGCAACCCTAGGGCCATTTTGCATTAACTAACAAAAGACGTTGTGATGCTGATCCTATGCTTAGATGTGAGTTGCTCTGAGGCTGAATGGCAAACAGGGAAGTGGTGGAATGGAGCTAAGCTGGAAGAAGGCATGATAACTACTATCTTTGCAGCCTGCACTGCTTGCATTGAAGCTATGAGCAGGGATGCCTTGTTATTATCACAGAGCAGCAAAGCTGCTGTTTTGAGAGTTTTAGCAACACTGCGTCCATCCATGGGCAGAGCAGCATAGATGACTGCACACCCTTGAGCAAGAACGTCTCTGGCAGAGAGGTGAAGGGGAATTGGCTTCCTCTAAATCCAGAATCGCTCTGCAACTGTTCATAGCCAGACCTTTTCAGTTGCCTTTAAGCTTTGGGGCTCTCTTCTGCCCGGTGCATATCGGAGGGCACCGTCGTGTCCCCTCCTCGCATGGCAGAGCTCTGTGCTGCAGCATCGCACCTCGCGCTGCTCTCTGACTGCTGCTCGGGCAGAAAGGCGCGAGAGTGCGACCTTGCTCCTGTCCTTGTCCCCATCCCAGGCCCCATCCGTGCCGCGGGCGTGCGGGGCTAGCCGGAGCCGTGCCGACGCGGTGCCACCGCCGCTTCCCCAGGAGATGGGGCAGGAGAGCAGCACTGTTCGGAATGGGGCCGGGGGAACCGCCCGCGCCGTCAAGCCCCCGCCTCGCTCGGCTCTGCCCCCGCGCAGGGGCTCGGTCACGGCGCGTCCCTGCCGTGGGGGCCCCGCTCCCTCCCGGAGAAGCGGCCTCGCGGAGCCCCCGCTCCTCTCCGCCCGCTTCCAGCGCTGCGCTGCCGCCTCCCGGGGCGCGGGGTCCTGTTTGCCGTCCGGTTAATGAGTGAGCAGCACTCTGGACGCTTCCCCGACGGCGGAGAGCGGGCAGTCAGCGGGCGGCCGGGAGAAGCATCCCTGCCCCCGCTCCCGCCGCCCCCCGCCCGCAGGTGCAGGGGGCTGGCACTTGGCGGGGGAACTGGAAAGAGCTGGTTCCAGTTTGCACTTTAGCTCCGGGCGGGGAGGAGGGAGCCGGGGGCCGATGGCGGGGTGGCTGCGGCCGCTGGCCGGGACCCTGCTCCTGCTCGAGGTAGCGGCTGCCGTCAGCTTCCTGCACCACCGCTACGAGGAGATGGTGCGGGCTCTATTTCGCGTGCAGAGCGAGTGTCCGTACGTCACCCGCATCTACAGCATCGGACGCAGCGTCGAGGGCCGCCACCTATACGTGCTGGAGTTCAGCGACTACCCCGGCATCCACGAACCCCGTAAGTACGGTGAGGCGGCGACCGGGACGGGGCGGCCCCGACAGCGCTACCGCTGCCACGCGGCACCAGGGGGCACGGCCAAGAGCCGCCTCTCTGCCCGGACTCCCGGTGCCGGAGCTCTGCCTTTGGGCACGCGGCCCCGGCGCGTACTTTGGCCACAGCTCTGTTTATAAGCGCAGGATGACGCAGGAGAGCTCGTCCCAGCACCCACCTGCCCCGCCGCCCCGTTCTGCCCCAAAACCAGGCAGAGGTGGGAGGGAGGAGTGCAATCCTTCCTTGTCCAAGCTGCACGGGGTGGTGCTGGGCCCCCGCAGATCTCCAGACACGCCACCCGGTGCCGAGTGGCCCCGCTGCACCTTGGCAGCAGCACACGGAGATTGGGGCAAGATTCTGCCTGCCTCCTGCAGTATGTTTTGTCTTCTCAAACCTTTGCTTGCTCATCAAAGCAGGGGCTCATACATTCAGGCTGCGTGGTCCCTTTGCCAGAGTTCTGATAATGCTCCGCCAGGCTTTGCTTTGGCAGAGCCACAGGATTGCAGCTGGGAGGGTTGCGGGAGGGCACCGGGCAGAGGTTCAGCTCGACCTGCGCCTAGTTCTCTCAGCAGCATGGACTTGTGGCCCTGCTTCTGGGTACTTCCACATGTGTGGTGTCTTTCAGACTCTGCAGGCTTCTTTGAAGTCCATGGAAAGTAACTGTGAAAAGGAAAACTTTAAGTCAGTTGGCTTTTATGTAGTAATTCAGGCTTCTGTGTCTGTGTGGATGTTTAGGGGTCTGTGTATCAGTATAGGCTGACAAGTCCTGCTTCAGACTCGAGGCATGTGAGGAGTCCCTGCTGAGACCTTTTTTTAAATGAAGGCAGCACATAATCCCAAGATGTTTTTATAGATTTAATAACTGGATTACCTAATTAAGTCAGTTCTCAAGTCTCCTGAAACCTAACCAGGTCAACACATATTGCCCACCCACAATGTCCTTCGCTGAGGCATGGCAATCCAAAGGTCACTGGCAACAAATATGGAAAAGCAACATCTTGTGCCAAAACTAGGATTGTTTTACCATCTGTCTTCAGCATGTCCGGATGCACTGAGATTTCTGAAAGTACTGCTGTGTTCTGAAAGCACTGTTGGGTTCTGGAAGCATAGTTGGGTTCTGAAGGCATTGTAGGGGTCTGGAGTCATGGTTGGGTTCTGAAGGCATGGTTGGATTTTGGAGGCATCATCAGGGTCTGGAGGCGTGGTTGGGTTCTGAAGGCATG